ACAATTGATGTATGTATGGATTGTGATAAGAGTCATATGAGCGCTTAATAAAACGATTTTTTTTTAAAAAAGCAGAAAATATGTTTAAACTTTCCATTTTTGACAAGTATGGAGCCCTTGTTGGGCTGCTTACTAAAAGGCCAGCAGTTCAAAACCACCAGCTGCTCCGTGTGAGAAAGATGAGGCTTTCTACTCATGTAAAGAGTTACAGTCTCGGAAACCCACCCATTGGAGGCATTCCAAACCTGTCCTCCAGGGTCACTATGAATTGGAACTGACTCAATGGCAGGGAGTTGGTTTTTGGAGGTTTGTATGTACAAAGCAAGGGCTTGATTGAGAATTGTATGACAGGGAACACACCTGCTAATTCTCTCACCATTATTGGACCAACAAGGAACTCTGATGGCGTAGTTGTGAAGCACATGACCGGTAACCAAAAAACTGGAGGTGAGCACTCACCTAGCAGGTGGGATAAAGGGGAGGACCTGGCAGTTTGCTGTGGGAAAGATTTTCACTTTAGAACACCTTGGGGGGCATTCTGAGGTCACTGAGGTCAGAGTTGACAACAGCCAGCGGCAGCTGTCTGATGTAGTGGGAAGACAAAAGATGAAGTTAGTACTCCTGCTGATTCACTTTAAAATAAGGCATGTTTCCCGTGCACTCCACTTCAAATCTGCCTTTGCCTAAATGTTCCTTCGAGGCCATCCAAGCCAGGGGCTGGCACAAGTTCAGACTCAGTCCGGAAAAGTCTGGAAATGGTTTCTCTGAAGAAGAATCCTCATGGAAATGCCTTCTCGGGAAATTTGTTAGAAGTACTGGGAAACACCTCGAGACATCTCTAGACTCCTAGGTGTGGTCTGTGCCGAGCCTGCATTGGTGCTCAGACAGAGTGAATGTTCAGCAAGGTGCCACCGTCTGAAGTCAGAGCCGGTCTCATCACTGAAATGAGGCAGTGTGCTCAAACCCTAATAGTGCATTCAGTGAAGAAAAAGCTTCTGAGATGCACATCTTTCTTGAGAACTACTAGGTCTAAGAGGTGGGAGAGCAGTTACTGGCCTCTGCCTGAGTGCCCCCAGCCCTGCACAGGCCGTGCTGTGGGACAGAGTGTCAGAATTCCACACCAGGCCCTGTCTTAGCAGGAATCTAACCGCTCCCCAGCTGCATCTGGGGGACTGAATATTGAGAAGAATACCGCTCATCTGTGAGCAGAATCAGGGCCCTGCCAGGGGCAGAGGTTAAGGACAGTGGACTCTGCTCGCCTCAGCCACCAGTAGGGAAGGAAGGCAGCAGGCCTTGGGTGTTGGACTAGTCATGAAAGATGGCTCTCTCCAACCAGCGTTTTGAATCATCCCATTGTTGGTTCCTGGGAGCTTGTCCCTGCTCGGGGCTTGTGGGATGGTGGAGGCTGGCTTCCTGTGCTGGGAGGGGCAGCCCACTTGGTTAGGCTGAACTCTCCAGAAGGTGATTGTCTTAGAGCCTCTGTGGTCCAAGAGCCAGCAGCTGCAGCTCCGTGGGTGTCGCAGTGCCAGCCGCTGGTGCTCGAGGGCCGGGTGTCTCTCATGCCCCTCCTGCTGGACTTGCCCAGTGCGCATGCTGAGTCGCCAGGTCCAGAGGGTGCAAATGGGAAGGACTTCGTTTTGTGCCTTTTGGGGCCAGCACAGCTAGTGTGGGTTCCACCCAGTGAGGGTGAGCCCGGCTACCCATTGTGGGGTGAGGACACCCTCATGGGGCCTGCTTGCTGCCCCCATCAGGAGCCAGCAGCTCTTCAGGTGAGAGTGGCCACAGGTCCAGCCAGTTCCTGCTTTGGGCAAAGGCCCAGTCAATCACTGACTCCTGAGGGCTCTGTCCTTCCTTCTGCTTCTACAGATCACACCCAGATGCTTCCTTGTTTGAACTGATTATAGATCCCCTTTGCCCAGTTTTCTCTGCCGGCCTTCTCACCAGGCTCTGGGAATCCTGCCTGGCCTGTCGCCTTTCTAGACCCTCGCCTGTCCTCCCTCAGCCCTGTCCCTACCCAGCTTCCCTGGCTCCCCCGAGAGGCCTATCTCCCAGAAATTGCTGGCACAACAATTACTTTTCCCATCTGACCTGGGTGCCAACAACAACAACATCCACCCCCACCCCAGACTGGCAGCCCATTATTCTTCACAGCCCCACCCCCCGCCCCAACCACATAGCTGCCGCCCCTGCTGTCTGCTCACCCATCTCTTTCATTGCAGTTTGGGGCTGAATTCCGGAGGTTCTCCCTAGACCGCCACAGGCCGGGCGAGTTCAAGGACTTCTACCAGCTGGTGGTGCATGCCCACCACCTCACCGGTGCCGATGTGACCATAGGCTACGCGGACGTGCACGGCGACCTGCTGCCCATCAACAATGACGACAACTTCTGCAAGGCCGTGTCCAGTGCCTGCCCCCTGCTCCGAGTCTTCGTCCAGAAGCGAGGTAACACAGGCAGCTGGAGCCCAGGGCCCTGCTTAGTCAGGGAGGGAGGTTTGCTACACTCTGTGGCAGTCATGAAAAGCTGGATTTGAGCAGTGTTACCACTTTAAATGGGGTTGATCTCTGACTTTTCAGTAATGGGGGAAGCATAACTGATTCTTCCAGCACGTTAGCTGGAAGAAATAAGGTGTACACACACACAGAAAAATAGGGGTCCTCAACCTGTGGGTCACGACCTTTCACAAAGGTTGCCCGATTCATAACAGTTGCAAAATGAAAGTGATGAAGTAGCAACGAAAATAATTTTATGGTTTTCACATAGCTCAGTGAGGACAAGGCGTGAGCCAGTCATCGTAGGAGGCCACTGAGGGCGGGTGACTGGGGTGTTTCGCAGCTGTTAGGATGGGAGGCAGTTCACTTTACTTGTCTGCCTTGCTCGGTCTAGCTGCAGAGCCTGGGCCCTCAGTAATACACTGTCAGCCTGTGGCAGTAGATGACTCACAGATTGGTGGATAAGGGTAGGGGGCCTGAAGCTGGTGCACCCCCAGACCTGCCTTTGAGAGGGTTTCTGCTCCTCTCCTGTCTGGGAGGCCATGGACATTCTAGAACATTCTTAGAACAGGAATACCGTGACCCTTTCATGCAGTTCCTCATTGTTGTGGTGACCCCCCAACCATAAAATTATTTTCGTTGCTACTTCATCACTTTCATTTTGCAACTGTTATGAATCGGGCAACCTCTGTGAAAGGTCGTGACCCACAGGTTGAGGACCCCTATTTTTCTGTGTGTGTGTGTACACCTTATTTAAATATCTCTTTTTTTCCCCAGCTAATTTTATTTTATTTTGTAATCGTTTTATTAGGGGCTCATACAACTCTTATCACAATCCATACATACATCAATTGTGTAAAGCACATTTGTACATTCATTGCCCTCATCATTCTCAAAACATTTCCTTTCCACTTAAGCCCCTAGCATTAGGTCCTCATTTTTCCCCTCCCTCCCCGCTCCCCCCTCCCTCATGAGCCCTTGATAAGTTATAAATTATTATTTTGTCATATCTTGCCTGAGAGGACCCCTGTTGTAGAATAAGAAGCTGGAGGAAGCTCTGTCAGTGAGGGGTTGGCGGTGGACCACTGAGTTTGTGATCTGAGGGTTGTCTCTCTCCTCCCTGGGGACCCCCAGTGGCTGGGAAGGAGGCATAGCGCCCAATGGGGTCCAGGTGCAAACCTGGTCTCAGCGTGAGAGGGAGGGGTGGGGCCTGGGGGTATTCTGGGCGCTCTGTGGAGGGGAGAGGGGGGTAGAGAGGCAGGGTAGAGTGGGGGGTGGGGAAGATGATAAGGGCTTCGGGGACAGGACTGCCAAGCTGGTGGGAGAGTCACGCTCTTGGGCAAGTGGCTTCCCCTCTTGCACCTGTGTCCTACTCACAAAATGGCCACACAAGTAGTGTACACCCATGGGTTACTGCTCCCCACCCATGGACTCTGCAGGGGGTGCTGGTGGAGGTGGGGGTCACTGTGGGTTGGTGACAGAGGCGTCGTCATTATGTACTTGGTCAGCGTGGCTGCCCACTCTGTCCGGATCCGAGCTGCACAGAGGCTGGGGCGTTCCTGGTGGTGGCCCAGCCCCCTGAGTGCCAAGTTGAGCTAGCACCGGGGCGTACACTCACACTAAGCGGTGGTGCTGTTTGTGACAGCTGGTGGCCTGCTCCTCCCGGCCCAGGGAGGCCCGTCACTCTGGGGCAGGTGGAGCGCAGGCTTGGCCCAGGGCCACAGAGGGTGCTGCCCTGTCCACGAGGCTCCAGGGCCTCACCTGTTCTCACTATTGGGACCCTTGCACCCTGTTCCCACTCCTTCACTCTCAGAGTGACTGTAAGCGGCATTGTCCTGAACCCCTCTCCCCACAGGAGCCCCCCTTTCTGCTGTTGCCCAGGGTGAGCTCCAGACAAGCAGACAGATGTAAAAACCATTACATGGTCCCGCCTGGCCCTCCAGCTCATGGGGACCGAGCCTCTACTCTGCCCTTGCAGCTCTTGGGCTGACCTCAGAGTGGGGGGCGGGGCCTGTGTTTGTGTTCAAGACAGACTAGCCAATCAGTGAGAGGCCTCTCCACCAGGAAGCACATGGCCCTCTACTGCAGCTTCCTACCTGCAGGTAGTCAGCCAGAGCTGAGGCCCCACAGGGTGGCACCGCATCGCCTTTCCTCCTTTCCCCACACCAGGGCCCTCGAGACCCCATGCACGGATGCCCACCCGGCACAAGCTCACTATCAGACTCAGCAACCCCTTATGGAGTTCTGTATACTGACACGGGTTTTGTTGAAACACATCTTACATTGTCCCCCAAAAAGTGCAGTAGTGCATGCTGAAATGAACCCTTAACGGTTTCCCAAAAAAATAATATATGTTCCACTTAAATAGTTCCTCCCCCCACAAGCAAAGACTCCCGGGGCAAACTGCAGACCAGTTTCCCTTATGAACACAGGCGTGAAGCCCCCTCCACAAAACACTACACACAACCCACGCCTGCGCAAAAACTCACTCTGGCCCCCGCCCGCCCATGTACCTTGTTGCCCAGCACAGCACCGTGCAAAAGGTCGGGTCGCACTCGGCAGGAAGGAGAGACACAGTACGCGTGCGTGGCTAACCATCCGCCCGTTGTGCACTCGAAGCTGGTGAACTTCAGAAAGTCAATAATGTCTCAGTAAGTGTGGTCCATTTGTGAGGCTGGCGCAGGACCTGGCAGTGTTTCCTGCTGTTGTACATAGGGTCGCTATGGATCTGAACCGACTCGATGGCACCTGACGAGTGTGGTGCACTTCCGAAGCGCTGCCGTGCCTGGCTTCTACCAGTAATCAAGCAGGATTCTAGCGAGTGCCACCGATGTGGACTGTGGGGAGGTTGCCAGGCTCGCCCTGTCCAAATCCAGCCATCCTCAGCACATGAAAACACTTTAGCTTTTTAATAACTGTTTTATTTACTATTTGCCATCGCTAACATCTCCTCTTCTCCGGTACTGGAAGTTTCTGCTGTGTCTGAGCTAGCTGGGCCCTGAGGGTGGTGGCAGAACTCGACCAGCAGGTGTGGACAGAGCATCTGCACCTGCAATGTGTCCTTCTGCACGTGGGGGCAGTGTGATGCTTGGCACTCGCTCCTGTACTCTGTTCCCAGAGCTCCTAGCATCCCCGGCTCTGAAAATTCAGCAAATGGTGAAGTACCTGCCCCACCCCAGAACCTGACCCATGAGTGAGCTGCAGAGGACTGTGCCCCCAAGTAGGATCGTGGAGCAAGTTGTCATCAAGCTTGACTGTCCTAGCAGATGCTGTCAACTGCTGGCTGATGGGTGACACCCATGGACAGGACTGTGGGGTGGGTGCTGTGTGCTCACTGACCCCGTGGGCTGCGGAGGCCTGGTGATGGTGGACCACTTGTTTAGTAAGAGACTTTGGCCAGTGGACCTGGCGTCTGGTCCTTCCTGAGAGTCAGGTTCCCACGTTGTCTCCTGCTGCCCTGAGTGTTGGGGCCATGAATGGTCACCAGGAGGTCCCGCGCCCACAGTCAGGAGCTCCTCTTCTGGGCTGGGGCTCCTGGTAGTGATATGACCACCCCAGACATCATCTAAGGCCTTTCTCACGTGGTGCCTGGGGTGGGGCTGTGGGGCTTGCTAAATATGAGGAGCCTCAGTCTCACCCCAACTTGCAGAGCCAGCGTCTGAGGGCCGGGGGTCGAGGTGCAACATCTCCCCTCACTTGGGGGCGTCTTCCCTGGGGCTCCCAGAGTCGTCCTGATGCCAGCACTGCTCTCTCGTGAAACCCTGCTGGCACGCAAGGCACGGGCTTCAGCACAGGGTGGGCGATCCCATGATCTGCTCACTCTGCTTGTCCATGAGTTTTCTGAAGCCCCCTCGCCCCACACACACACACACACACACACACACACACACACACACACACCTCTATCTTCCCAGCTTGCAAAAGATGAACCGGCGCTCCGGATAGTCAAGCAAACGGGTTACCAGAGTTGCTGGCAGTGAGTGAGGTGCGGCCCTCAGTCTCAGAGCAGGACTCGCTGCCTTTAATGCCCACCAAGGTCCAGCCTGGCCCACCCCGCACCCAGCTTTAGGACCAGGGCCTGCACGGGACAGGCCAGAGCACTGGTGAGAAGCGTCTGTTGTGGGCACCGCTCACCTGCATTCCCGGGCCCGCGTCCAGACCAAGAGGTTTCCACCATGACTTTCTTTCCCTGAACGTCAGCAGGATGGCTTCCTCTGTCTGCACTCACTTTTCCTGTTTTTGCCTCTCACTGTCCATCCACTCCTGCTGGAAAATTACTCACAAGGGTCAGAACAAACACACAGGCATCACTTGGCACATCCCCTCCTCACCCGGGCCCTGCATGTCCCCTCCTCACCCAGGCCCTGTACTTGGCATGTCCCCTCCTCTCCCAGGCCCTGTACCTGGCATGTCCCCTCCTCACCCAGGCTCTGTACCCGGCATGTCCCCTCCTTGCCCAGGCCTGCACCTGGCACATGACAAATGGAGGCAGAAATACAGGCTGAGAATGGTCACTGAGTCAGAGTCATTTGCTCCTACATCACTCCTGAGTGTGACTTTGGTGTGCTGGAGTCAAACGTTCCAAAAAGCAGCTCTGTCCTTACAAGTAAAGGAGCTTGGTGATCTACTGGGTGACGAGTTGGACTGCTAACCAAAAGGTCAGCAGTTTGAAACCTCCAGCCGCTTTCTACTCCCAAAGAGTTACAGGGGCAGTTGTACCCTGCCCTACAGGTTCATTATGAGTCAGAATCAACGATGACAGCGAGTTGGGTTTTGGTTTGGTCCCTGTAAGTATAAATCCCTGTGGGACTACCATGAGCCTGCTCCTACAGGCGTGTCTCAGGGCCTGCAGAAATGCCCTTTCCCGGCTGAGAAGCTGCTGGCTGCTAGGAGTGCAGGCTCCAGGCAGAGACCGCCCCTTGAGCACCTCCCGCTTGCTATGTGGAGCTGGA